TTTTGTTACTTGTGAGAAAACCGTTCCGTTTCCACAGAGCGAGATGACACAAGAAACTAAGTCGAGCATAGTTAGAGTCAGTGCAGATGACTAGCGTCTGGATGGAGCGTTCCACTGCCATCCGTAGGCCTATTAAGATTCCTGCTATCTCAGCGTACTGAGAAGACTGAGAGCCTAATTTATAGCCAAATGTGACCTGTTCTTGGTCTTGGAGGAGGACTCCTCCAACACCTGCTTTGCAGATTTTCTCGTGGTGGAATGAGCATCCATCCACGTACAATGTCGCCATATCTTTACAGATATTGCTATCAAAGAAGTGGTGATTTGGGTCCTCAGCTACTGAGGGTTTACTCACAACCAGCTGGTGGGTGGCTGGTACATCCTGTGTACATTCTTGGCAGATTGCCAAATCAGTGCCCAAGTGTGACTCCTTATTTTGACCGTAGCGGATGTCTAGGTTAAAACTCTGAAGTGCCATAAGCCATGTGGCTACACGTGAGTTTGTCACCACACCATCTCTGATGCGTTGGCTGTTTAGAAACGTTACAGGCTGGTGTTGTGTTTCAACAATAATCCTCTGTCCACCAATATAGCAGGAGAAATGTTTCACTACCCACACAGTGGCCAGTAGAGCCTTCTCACAGTCTGAATACCGTAGTTCAGGGCCTGCCATTGTTTTGCTGGCGTAGGCCACAACACGCTTGTCTTTGTCGTGTATTTGGTACAGACCTGCACTTATGCAGTGAGTTGAGAAGCCCACTTTTTCTTTTTGTTTTCCGAATATATAAAGGCCCAAAGGGGCAGATAATCATGTGTATAACACATACATTTCTGTCATTTCTCAACATAAAAGTCCAAAACTCTGGCATGAAAGGCAGCGGGCAATATTAATTTTTTCAAGGAATGCTAGGCCTTTATATTTCAACCAGGGAGAAGAGTGTCAATGTAATGCGTATTATTTGCACTCGTCATGATCAATAACTCTCCTGTAGAAATGTTCTGCTCCTGTTTGTGATATGTGATATTACTGGTCCCACGTAATCACTCCTACTGTGACCAGTCAGTGAGAAACAGAAAGAACTGGTTGTTTTGATATCCTAAAGGGATGATTGATATGATATTGATATGATAGAGTTGATATGATATGGTGATGTGTCTCAGGCAGTCCTTGACTCAGATCCACTCCTTTCTGTCTGCAAGCGGACTTTTCGAAGACGGCTCGGACATGGAGGGGAGGAGCTGAGGGCTGGGCTGGAGGTCCATGTCCAGTCCAGAGAGTTAAAGCGGGTCAGGGTTTCACATGGATGAAAACACTGATAAGAGTGTGATCTTGTAATTGCATGTTCTGTGAATGTTGGACTACTCCCCAAAGCTTTATAAATAAATCTGATGAACTACACCTTGGTCTGAAATCTCCTTTTTTCCACGACAAAGAGTCAAAGCTGCCAAGAGAAAATCTAGAGAATTGGAAAAACAGAGAACAACAGATGTTTTAGGTTAAGTATTTTGTAATTCAACATAAGTGATCCTGAGATCACATCCTTTTTGTTTTTATTTTTTCAGATGTGAAACTGAAGAGGCATTTGGGAGCCACATGTGAGTCTCGAAGGTATTCACGCCTGCACTGCTGGCTCAGTCAGTGTTACGGTTTGTTGCACATTTTACATGAGGTAGTCTATTGAACTCCCACTAAGAAGATGTGGATGAAAGTTACTAGTAGGTCTAGTGAAACCTAAACAAGTAAACAGCTTCAATTCAATGGACACACGTGACAAGAGTTTTTATTTTTTAAGAGGGAGGATCCTTGTTATGGCAGTACCTGCAGCCACACAGTAAACAAAGGCTAAGGTAATACATTTGGTATCTTGTGTTTTTTGCTGATATGCATAAGTTTAACCAAAGTTCAATAACAGAACATTTATATATTTATGTAGTTTCAAGTCTTGCTGCAATTTATTTGTTATTTACAATGATTTAACTTGTGTTTCTTTGAGTTTCTGGTTCCTGTGGAGATGCTGCTGGAGTTTGTCCTGCCACTCCCTGGTAACACCCCCAGCTGCATCACATCTAGTAATGAGTCTAACTGGGCTGTACCATGTTGTATGTCATCAGAGGGAGAAGTTAAATATTTGATTTTTACATTTTTGTATAGATAAAATTTTGTTGTTGTAAATATATTTCATATTTTAGGTTATTATTTAGCACTACTTTGACTTTAATCAGTTTGTTTTGTTGCTAACACTACTTGTAATTTAGTCTATTTAATTTGTTTCCCCTCTAGTGTCACAATGGTCTGATCAGACACTTTATAAGTTCCCCTCTGGTCTCAATCAGGGGGTCAGTTAGTGCTTTTAGTTACATTTTGTTCTGTTGACCTCTTTATGGGCCCAGAACTGCAGTATTTTGAGTTTCTGTAAATACATTTGAAACTCTTTTTTTATCCAATATTCTGTCTCTCTTGCTGGTAGATGTGGACCCTAACAATCCTGGACCACCTTTTCCAAGAGGGACACCACTTTTACAAATAAAGAAGGCTTATAGCATTCCTTAAAGGGATGCTCTTTTACTGATTCCCATGCCGAATATTTAGTAAAACTTTTGCATTAGCTGTTAGCACTTGTGTATGTGTACTAAATTAGTGTCAGCTCACAACATTTTTACTCACTGTTGGTGACACTGACTGTTTTGTGGCAGCAAAATATTTTTTGGGGACTGTGGTGACCGTCTTGAATTTTAACCATATTCAGTTGTAAATGCACATCTATTGATTATTTTCTGAGAGTTTCATTAAAATCTGTTTTGTAGCTCATGAGATGTTTTGGTAACAGATAGGCACACAAACAGACATGAGGAAAAACATTATCCACATTGCCTTTAAGCTGGCGGGTGATAAAATGATGGAATATTATTTTAAATTTGGGAAAGTTGTGTATTACTTTGTCATGACTCCTTCATAAGCAGGAAAATAAATTAAAACTATAACATTCAAGTAAATCAAATCATATATAAACAAGATTAACAAAATGTTGCTTTGTGTAACATATGTGATGGAGACAGTTGTTTTTGGAGCATTAAATGTTGTGAGCATCTGTCTTTTAATAAAAAATTTAGCTCATTTCAGTAGGAAACATACTAGATTTATATCAGGTTGGTTTATAGAAAAAAACAACACATACCTGTTATTAACTGAGAATGTTTAAAACCATCATCTCATTAAAAATCACAACACAGGAGGCCTTGAACTGTTAATCATCTTATCTCCTGTAACAAATATGAAAGCAAATGTTTCAGTTGATCGTTATCTAATTAACTACAATCTCTAAAGGATTTGCAACATTGTGATTTTAGTTTTTTAGCACGACAGCTTTTTTCTTTTATGCAGCTAATCGACAAAAAATGCGGGACGGCAGACGATCTGAGTGTGTCACAGTAATGACAGGGGAAAGTACCTGTCTGTGCTCGATGGGAATGCGTTGTATTTTAACCTAAGTGTTTAATCACAGGGTTTGGATAAATGTTCCCCTTCTCTTTAAAATGTTTCTCTGTCTGGTGTTGATCCAGATCCACTCTGTTCATGTCGAACTGAGCGCTGTACCTGTTGGTTTGTTTTCATACCGAAACACTGAGTCAGTTGTAATTTAACAGAACTCCATCCATCCATCCATCCATCCATCCATCCATCCATCCATCCATCC